TTGTCGATGGCGGTCGCGACGCCAAGAAAATGGCCGCCGCCGCAACGAAAACACGATTGAAAATCATCTTGATGACTCGATTGTTTGGTATTTGTTGAATTCTCTGTAGACAATCCCCGTTAGTTACGCCAAAATCGTGTGCCTGTAGTGAGAAAGTAGTGCTTCATCAGACGCCTGTTCGATCACCCAGTTCTCCCGGAGTCGACCAATTTACCCTCGCGACTCGAGGAGCGATAGATGTCGCGACGGGGCTTTCGCGCGCAAACAAAAATGAAACTTACTAGATCAGAGTGGCGACCGATGCAGAAAGTTAGGCTGTTGGCTGAGCGTGGCTCGCAGTTGATGAAGGATTATCGAGGGAACTCGGGAAAGTGAGAGTCGGTGGAAAGAGAACGCGAGTGAAAAATGGGCGAAGCCGGTGGGTTTGTTTCTAATAGTGAGTGAGACCGGGTTGTGGTTCCTGTAACTGGAAAATATTGAGATGGGAGAAAATGAGTGGAAGTTCCTGCCAGCTTGTGCAATGCCACAGGGAAATTGGTATGACACAAGTGGCCAAACTTGAACTGGCGCGTGAAAAGTTTTCCAGTCTCAGTCGTTCCTTCCTGTTCTTCACAAAACCACTGAAGCAGTAACCCGCCCCTGCCGTTGACCGTCACCCGAGAAGCTCTGGGGAAATGCGATGCAGGTTTGACTAGAGCCAAACTGAGCTGTTTCCAAGTGGAACAAGGCTTGGATTGTCACCAGGTACGAACAACGGCGTTCAACAATGGCGTTCAAAATTAAATTTTCCAAGTCCCGGGCCCGACACGGGGACCGTCACACCACTGTGGTGTATCTCCGGTGGCAGCCGAAGATAAAACACCATCATTTCCGAGTGTACTGTTCTTGTATCACCGTGTTTCAATGTGTTCTCTGTCATGGCCAGTTAACGAACTGATGTAAGCATGATGGTATGAGGGTATGCAGCAGCAGTTGATGCCCGACTCGGAGTCTTTCTCTGTTAAGTGTGGCGTTATTGGTACCTATCCAACTCCCTTGGCCCGATTCCGTTGGCTGCGGTTAATCGTGATTTGCAACATAACCCTTTGAGATACTCGACGAACTCGAGATACGCGTCGGCCACCTTTTGGAAATGCTTGACTTCGAGAGACACGGGTGGTATTTGTGAACTCGAGGACGCTTTGGCTACAGAGGAAGCACTCGTCTCGACGGATTCGAACTCGGCTAGAGCAAGTGCAGTCTGGCACCCATTTCGTATTTGCCGGCCGTTCCAGCGCGCCTGGGGATTCCCGTGCCAGTAGTTGGCGATAAAGCCACCGATTGCTACCCTGTCGACGCCCAGTTTCATCCCTTTCGATTGTAAACGCTTTTCGATTCGACCGAGATTCAGGCTGAAAATACGTTGTGTGGACTCCAGGCTCAGGGGTGGGTAGTATAGACTCATATGAATTCGGGACGCAAATGCCTCGTCGAAGACACCCACGCGATTCGTTGTCAGAAACAGACAACCGACGTAGTACTCGAGGATACTAAGAAAGACTAGGTATATAAGTATATTGGGGTTAAACGCGAGTTGAGTGGAACATTATGGGATGTCAGGGTAGGCAAGCAAGTAGACTTAGCCGAGTATGACATACCAGACACCAGACTGTTGCGGAGATGGTCGGCGGGGCTTCTTGCGGTCAGGAAAACATCCGCTTCGTCAAGCAGTAGGATGCAGCCCCATCTGGTTGCCAGGGCAAAATGTTTCTCGAGGGTGGACTCAACATCTCCCGCTGACACGCCGAGGTCACCTTCAAAATGAAGATTACAGTGTTAGTGTCAACCAAGCAGTCTGTCTAGCCACTCGTGAATAGATCCCACATGGTACCAGACTTACCACAAGTGATTTGGAAGAGCGGTTTGTCGAAATATTCGGCGACACATTCTGGATGTGGAGTTTGATGAGATGTACCGCGTCTGGGTCTGATTCTGGGACGCTTCTTACCTGCAGTCGAGGTCTTGCCAACTCCAGGAGCGCCGTGCAACAGGATGATGAGGCTCTTGCCTATAGTGAGCAGTTAGATAGATACCAAGATTAGTATTACAAAGCCACTGCGTCAACACTATAGAATCTGTCGGGCGGCGTACCTTTTCCGCGCACAATGTCGGTTTTGTCACGAATATGCCTCGGTTTTGTCACGAATATGCCAACCGGTGGGACCCCGGGTCACGGCACGCCCCGAGCCAATCATAGGAAGGACCAATCAGGGAGCCAGGAAGGCGATCAAGAAGATCAGTGAGCTAAGTTGCCAAGAGCAGACTGAGCAGACTGAGCACCAGGAACGACCGCCTATCAGGATGACAATAATCCGCAAGAATATCAGTGAGCTCAGTTGCCAAAAGCAGACTGAGCACACTGAGCACCCAGCAAATAGATAGTATATAGTCACTCGTTCTGGAGAGCTCCGGGAGTTCTCCAGTTAGCAATCACAACTACAGTTCGCTACAAGCTCGAGAGCCTACTGTTGAGACAAGTCTTTGTCGTGCACCCTTTGGCTGCACCGAACCTAAGCACCCTTTGCAAGATTACCTTCGACCGAAGCTGAACCCTAACAGGACGGGGTCCTGGAGTAGGTTCGTCACAGGTTTGCTCCATGTCCCCCGATTGTTTATCCTGAAAGTGCTGGGTAATGAGCGACTTGACCATGTCTTTGTGGCCTGGTGGGAGAACCAGCTGATCAAAGGCATTTTTACGGCGCTCAGGCGTTTTCCAGTTTCCATCCCCCAGTTCAGCACTGGCGTGGTGTGACGAACCTACTTCAGGACCCTGTCCTGTTAGGGTTTAGCTTCGGTTGAAGGTAATCTCTCAAGGGTGCTTAGGTTCGGTGCAGCCAAAGGGTGCACAACAAAGACTTGTCTCAACAGTAGGCTTTCGAGCTTGTAGCGAACTGTAGTTGTGATTGCTAACTGGAGAACTCCCAGAGTCCTCCAGAACGAATGACTATATGCTACCTAAGTCTACAGGTACCTCCGTACCTGTGTTCCCTGGATCGTCTTATCATTCAGGCGATCCATACCGGATCGCCTTATCCCTTACACGATCCCTGGATCGTGTATTTACTCGAACGATCCGTTTCTGATTGGCTGATGCCCCATTCTTAATGATGGCTTGGACCGCTCCCGGCGCGGCCCCGCTTGGCCACTGCATGTGGCCATGTCCGTGACACGTGGAGCCGAGTCGCCGGTGAGAGATTCTCCATGTAGAGATGGGCTATTACGGTTAGTGTAAGTATGTGTATGCGCGCAGTTATTGGCATAAGAATAGGTAGGAGACGGAAGATAATGCATTCCTCCTTCACTCACCCCACTTTCGACTCCGCAAAAAACAAATCCATATACTGCCGGTGGCATCATGATATACTCAAGGCCAGTTATATCCGTTCTACTTGCCTCAAGTTCGTCGAGAAGGCGAGGATGTATGAACAAATGGGGCCTCTGGGATCTATGCGCTGGAATGTGGCGATCCATAAACTCGACGTTCGGAGTTGGTCAATCTTTCTTTCGTCAAGAATCTCCTCCTCCTCGCCGAAGTGGCCTATGTAATGGACATACTGCTTATCGATTGCAACCTCGAAGCCGATATCCTCGACCTTGACCCCCACTAGATTCTGAATATCTGGACGCCATTGAGGATTTTGGCGGTAACACTCCTCAAAGTCAACGACGACCTGGCTGTCGACATAATCCGGCGTGGAGGCGCTTGTGGGACCGGTATAGTGCATATGTCTAACTTTCGTCATGTCAAGGAATCTTTTCCCCGAAGCGATCAGAGATTCTCGGAGGCCGGGATTAGGTGAGTACGCCAACGGGTAGACGGCAAGCGAGGTAATTGCTTTCTCGCCGTTGAAGGGAAGGATTGTGACCCTACTGGTCACAGGGCCTAACACAGTTCCGTCAAATCCAATCATGACATGAACCATCTCGAAACCATCAACCTTCTCCTGGCTGGACTTTGAGCCGCCATAAAAGGGCTGTGTGATTTTATGTCCTGGATCAACAGTTCCCAAGACAAGGCTGGCCTGTGTTTTCTCTTTCCAGACGATCACATCTCCTGATTGAAATAACAACCAGAGCTCAGCGTATGTGATCCTTTCGCAGAATCCCCCACGTATGTGGTCCATCCTAGTCTTGAAATTGCCATCCATAAACTCGAGCAAGCATTTGAAGTGATCCATTCTAGCCGCCATGTGGCCACTGCGTTCGTCGCTTTGCCCGACTAGAGTTGCATCTGGCTGGTTTTGGATCCATATATTGGGCTGCAGCACATCGGACTGGACTGCACCCCCGCCTTCAGGCTTCTTTGCCGGAATTTTGCTGAGCCTGCGAAATTCCTTTCGTATGCGGTCCCCAAAGTGTACTAATCCTTTGAAGGGTAGAACCATGAGGACCGAGGTGCCGTGTCCAAACACCCTGGAGGAGGACTCAAGACCCAAGTTCATCGCCGGGAGGAAGTTAACGATGAACTCAGAAGTAATCCGGACCTTCCCCAGGAATGGGGATGCCCTTCTGCTGGAAATGAGTTGGCAGCTGCTGCATCCTAGTGTTGTCTTGGATGAGCCTTGGATCACGGCCGGAAATTGGCGGACGGGCATCGTCAACGAGGACATTGACCACGAACGGGATGATTTCCCGATCTTTGTACATATATATTCTCTTTCATGGGCTTGAATTCATCCCAACTCGCCCCGGTTGAGCTTCGCGATATACTTTGTCCGGATTGCGTCTTTCAGGTGCCAGCGGCCGCCCTGGGGCAGCGCTTCGCTTGAGTCTCTCTTCCCCGTCAGAGTCGCCGGTTCCCCCCCCCCCAGGGGAGAGTCCATTGTGGGCATAGGAGGGGGGGGAGGCCCGAAATGGCCGCCCAAGGGGAGTTGGGAAGAAGGGGTAGTCCGGGGGGGCCCGCCCGGTTGGGGGGGGGGGGGGGGGGGGGGGGGGTTGTTTTCCACCGTATCTCCAGGTCGCGGCGAAGCTGGCCTTCGATCCGTAATCGGATCTCAAATTCGGCGTTTACTTCCCTCAGTCCGCTGACAGCTCCCTCGAGCTTATCAATTCGCGCCATCAGAGTGCCCACAATGTCGCGCATGTCGCTTGGCCCTTGAAAATCTTCCCCTTCCGGGTTCTTGTTTCCTGCAACGGATTGTCCGCCAGGAGCACCCAGCGTGCTCCACTTCAACAACACCAATGGAGATGGAGGTTCCGACTTGGAACTGGATGAGGGCCTGGGCCGTTGCAATGGAGACTCGGCCGCGGGTGCAGCTGGGTCGCGCACCTCTGTCTCATCAGCGGCATCCATTTTGCTGTCGTATTGCTCGGGCCCAAAATGTCTTGACAAAATTCGGAAGCGAGGGGACTAGTTAGGAGAAATGGGATAGAACTGGAAGTTGGCCAGGTCGGGTTCACTTCACAGTGTTGACCTCAGGTTGAAAATCCTCGAAGCAAAGACAGTTTTTCTACAACATAAAAATGCTAGCTTCACGGGTGGTACCACAGCAGGACAGCGAGCGGGGTTCAAACCGTCACCTCCAATTGCTGGTTGGGTCTCTGGCTCTCTCTCAAGTTTCCATCATGCATCGCCCTCTTAACCGCCGCCTTCCCCCTCCCCTGCCCCCTTCCTTCCCACGAATTGTAGCGAATCGTCAGCCCTTGAACCCCCCGTCTGCCCTATCCATCCCCTTGCAGCCTGATCGATGGACGGGACTGATCACGAGAAGTTCAGCTGCCCCGACCGTCACGAATTAGCCCTCGTTTATCACCTCGAGCATCTTCCTCATAATCTAACCTGCGTCTATGGAAGATAACAGAAGTCGGACGTTCCACGCTCAATCACTGGCGGTAGATTTCATCGACCGTCGCCTCCCAACCTACCACCCATATTTCAACAGACCTCTCACCAGATCCGGCCCGACCGAGGGGATGTATGTGCCTAAGTCGTCGGCATCCGGCTCGGAGTCAACGACCGAGAGGCCGTTGCCCTCGGCGTCCGATCGGATGCGGTTCTGGGCTGCGTTGTTCCCCCGCGCCCTGGACAGCTTCAAAGAGCGGCGCACCGTCGAGCCTAAGGGACGACTCCAATCTGGCCAAAGTATTCGGAATCTGTCGACCTGGGAGCAGGTGCTCGAGCGCCTCCGGACAGCCCGACAAGGCTATGACAACCCTCAGGGACGGTTCGGGGCCGCGAGAAAGGGTATACAAAACGCCATAGACAAGTCGCAGCCTCTTCGCGGAATTGTTAACTTAATTCCGGACAACAACTATTTCGCACCCGTTGTTGGGGCGCTGGGCATCATCTTGGACGCCGCAAAAAAGGCAACGAATCTGCGCGAGGAAGTGGCTGCCGGGCTAGACAACCTAGCAAAGAACTTTGAAGACATTGAGACCTTTCTCATAACCTTCCCCCATGACCAAAATATTGTCCGTAGCTCGGTCGATCTCCTCGCGTCGATGCTCAAAGCGATCGAGGATGTTATAGGTTACTACATGCGAAATACCATGTCCAAGGCTGTCGCCGCTCTCATCTTGCAGAACGATTATCAAGCATCGCTCACGGCGAGCCTCGAGGAAATCACGTCCAACGGCCAACTATTGCTCAAGGAGGCAGCGAAGTCCAACTTTTGGCAGAACCGGAAGACATGGGAGGTGGCAGAGGAGAGTTCGGTATAGCTGGACCATGTGATGGAGAGCCAGCAAAAGGTGGCCGACACCCAAAACGAGATGAAGATCCTGCTTGAGCAAATGCAGATGAACATGCAGAAACTCCACCGAGCCAACCTACATCTTACCGCCGAGGTCATCTATTACCGGGAGCGGACGCCATCTCCGACAGGGCATTTGCCCACGACGCCGCCACCGATCAGCCAGGAAGACCTGAAGACCGGGCTTCTGGAAGCTACCGCTAGTGTGTTGGAGAATGGTATCCCAGTCGAGCAGATCATACAACGCAGAGAAATTTTCCCGGAGGCGGAGAGAGAGGTCGCGGAGCGGATCGTTATCATGTCCAAATTCAGAGAATGGCTCGCCGCTCCCGTGTCCCGCGAGCTCTTGATTCACGGTAATTTTGAGGGGACGCAATACACGCACTCTTCTGTGCCACGCTTACACGGACACTACAAGAGGAAGCCGGACCCAGCGGCGGTCGATATATTGCCCTGGTCTTCTTCTGTGGTCAGCACCTTGCCGACCATTCGAGGACCGGTAGCGGTAATGGAGCTGCAGCATTTGTCGGCGGCTTGGGCATGATTCAGAGCTTGGCTGCGCAGCTTCTGGCACAACAATCATTCAGTCTCGACCAGATCCTCACCCAACGGCATGCCACATCCGTCAACATGCAAGCCATCCGCGACGGCGATATTGGCCAACTCCTAAACCTCTTTACTGAGCTTGTCCGGCAGCTCGTCCGCACCGGAACCAGCACATTCTGTTTGATTGACGGCATCAAGTACTACGAGAGAGAGGAGTATCTTGATGGTATGTCTCTGGTTCTACGCCGTCTTCTGGATATAAGAGAAGAGGGGGATTCAAACGGTAGCGTGTTCAAAATTTTGGTTACGAGCCCCACGGCAACAACCATCGTCCGGCAGGCGTTCAACGAAGATGATATCGTATCATTAGCGCCGCTGCAGTCTAGTGGCCAAGGTTTTAACGCGGAAAGGCTGAGGCGACAACTGTTCTGAGTGGGCAACTGACAGAACAATCGCGACGCGATCAGCCATCTGTGTTGTTGGTGTGTCTGAGAGAGCGCATCCGGAGACCGTACTCCGCTTCAATGCCTCTTACTTGGAATATTTAGGTGGTACCTAAGTACAATTCGCTA